AGGTGCAAGCAAAATTGTGGAGAATACGACCCTAATGACGCCATTGTTCTAGAGGCCTACTGCACTGGTATCATCTGCCAGGAAAAACCAACTTATACCTGGACAGTGATCGAAAAAAGAGTCACCAATGGTAATGTATCATGGCAGCACGTCTCTATCCCTTTCGATCAGTTATCACCACAGTTCAACGTATCAAGGATTAAAATTCCAAAAGAGAAATTGAAGGTTTGTGATTCTGCATTACTTATAAAAAGCAATCCGAAGAAAAGTAGTGGTTTGCCATGCCTTGTGATAATAATATAATTTTGGGGAATACTTCTTAAGGCATATAAAGTCGATAAAGTTATCGACTTTATATGCCTTAAGAAGTATTCCCCAAAATTATACCAAGCAATCCATGTCGATCCGACAGTTCAATATACCAAGCAGATGAAAATAAACAACCAAAAACAAATTAATTCCCATCCATAAGTAACATAGACACGCTRAAAGCTTATTCTTTTTCCAGGTTGGCGTTAGGTACATGCTACATGTTAATGCCTCATCCAAAACTGGATATGCCGAGTCAAACTTCACCCTGAATTCAAACGAAGCACCAGTCGGAGGGAAATGCTACGTTGACAACCTAATAGGGGAAGCCTTCACGACTATTTTTAATTTTACATGTGAAGGATGGAAGGATGACGCAGTTCCTTTGACTTACAAATTCCACTATATCAATTCCTTTGGTGTCGAAGTATTACTACAGTACGGTTTAAGCCCCATTGTTTCCACGAAGCTACCTGTCGGCTTTGCTGATAACGATTATGACATTCCAATCAAGATCTTCATAGCTGATTCACATGGTGTTGGAAGAGAAATCAAGATTAATATCAAGGTACCGCAATATATACAGAAAGCCTTATATGGCAGTTTTGTACCAAATAAGGAAAGAGTGTGCGCCTCATCCTACAATGCATCGCTGTCATTTTGTAACATAACTAGTGAAATCATTGCGATTGATTGTTCTCGAAGAAATACGATCACTGGGCTTAACAAAAGATCTTGTTATCGTCTGCGATCATCCGTTCTTTGGGAAGATCAATTTCTATGATTTCATTATTTATGTGAAAAATGTTGGAATGCATTAATCACTGACGTGAATTTAAGTTTACAGCAAAACATATCGATGAAGGACAAAAAGCCCCATGATTAAGCTACAGAATCTTGCTCTCTATCCATCTCTACCTCTCTTCCTCTTGCCAAATAACAGCCTCTTTATTGCTCTAATTTTAAGACTGCTTCTCAATTCAAAGGTAGTAGCAGCAGCGATAGACTAATACATGCACAAATTGCATGTTTAAAACAATATGTACAATATTTATATCACTATGCAGAGTAAACCTTGGCTGAAAACACGTCCTACATCACCTGGCACGGACAAGGTATGTCGATCACTAACCACACGCTACTAATGTAAACACTATGAATCTCAATAACTATAGATATAATATTAAAGTATTAGAGAATAATAATAATAATAATGATAATATGGTGCACGTACATTGAGTTGCACATTAAAAACTATAAAGAAAAGAAACAATCAACATTTTTAAAGAAAATATAAGCAAAATTAAACGCACACAATGAATGAAACGAAATTGTGAAAAATGAATGAAAGAGAGGAAAATGTCGGAAAATGGGGTATTTAGGAAACAAAATGGTCGGAATTGCATGCTATCGGATATATAATGTTTAAAGATGTAACTTAATTAAGTTATTGAGATCGGAAGGTGGATTTACACGCTTATTCATCACTAATATCACAGTACACGATCTCATGTGTACAAAAAAAAATCAATCAGCACTTTAAACGCCAACAGCCATCCTAAAAATAGACTTCTACAGAAGATGAAAACCGCTCACTCAAGAGAACAGCGATTTCAATACAGCAGAAGTAATTCAGAAACYAKAAAGATGACCATATATGTATGGATGGATATTGTTGAAAATTGCAGAATTTTTGCAAAATGCTGAAAATGCACTCCTAACYTGATATTGCATATTTTGAAACGTTTAAATAGTGAATACGATTGGCRTATGAAAACGTTTTTCATATGATTGACAAGATCCGTCATTCTCGTACCCAGRCYCTTYTCAGTTTCCCTGCGGAAAGTTGGAGCGAGAATGAGCCATTTTAGGTGCTGAATATTTAAACACTCAATATGCAATATCGTTTCAGTAATTATATAACATATATACAATATATGTGCATATAATAATCTTATATATCTTCACTTACATGCTAAATATAATGCAGAAAACCATTGTTTTTTGTATGGGGACTAATCACGTGATATATACTGACAAGCAAACCTCTTCTTTGTGATACTACTGCAAGGGACCATGGTCAACAGGCATCCATATGAGCTTTTGTTCATGATTGAAAATAAAAAAATACATCGTAATATAACCAAAAACTCACTCTTTATTATCTATTTATGTTTATTATGAACGGCGATACTGTAAGATTCGACCTAAAAACCGAAGGATGAAAACAGATTGTACATGGGTATTAGAGGTCACCTCATCGTTTCCATATATGAAAAGTCAAAAACAAGACCGCATTGAATGCCGTTTGACTATGAATTTCAACCAATTATTGAACATTTTGAGTGATGTGTGATCAGCACTATAGCAAAATAACGTGTGTAATAAATGCAATGTCTTCTCGGACTTATTAGCTCATTAAAMGTTTATCAAACTGGGAGAGTAATTGTTCATATTTGTGTACTTAATAATGACAGAACATGTCTTTTTTTCAATGCTAATATAGAACGCGTTATAAACTAACCATGGTTTGGATTCAGGTCAACCCTATAGTGGTGGAGAACTCGACGCTATATCACTACACRGTKGGCAGTAAGAGCAGACTTAGCGTCTTACTGCAGAACAATAACATCAAACAGGCAACTAATTTRGCCAATGAAGTGCTCTCAATGATGTCCAACAACGCTGTTCAAAATATATCCAGCGAAGACAAAATCAAGGTGTGTTTCATGATTTAAAGATAAACTTGGTTAAATCTTAGCTGGGGAATTCAAGACTTTCTCAAGGGAAGGTCGAAAAACTTTTAAGGTCTGATAAGGAAGAGTGTCAACAAAACGTTACCCATAGAAGTGATGGTACACCTTTCTCCAAGATAATTCTCCTCAGTTTTTTAGTTTTCGTCCTCTTTTTCTTCTCCACTCCAATTCCCAGTTTTCTTCTCCACTCCAATTCCCATTTCTCATATTATTCTATTATTCCATCCAGATTAAAGACAACATGATCTCTCAGATGGCAAAGGTCAAGGTAACAGATATGAAGAATCTCATCCAGGTATCATCAGTAGTGGCTGGAGCAACTGAAGAAAAGACGGAGTTATCAGAAGAATCGAAGGTAAGAAACGACGGTACAGTAAGGCTGAATTGGAAGGTAACCTATGTAGCTACGCATTAGTTCTATCATTGATTGGAGATAGTGGTCTATTACTCTTTTATACTATGTCTTTTTGCTAGGATAAATCAGTCGAAGTGCTGGAATCAATGGCGGACGTCTTCTCCAAGATACCTGTTGACGTCAAGAAAGGTTCCTCGCAYATGATGAGTGARGCAAGCACTAACCTTATCCATGGAATGGGAAATGTGTTGGATACATTCTCTTACACTGCAGCGAAAGAAACCGAGGAAACAGAAGACAAARAAGATGTCRCAAATACTACTGCAGTTAATTCAAAGGTTAGTCTATATTTAATGGCCATCAAACTGTAYTTTATTTCAGTGAGGTATGCATCAATATTCCAACCGATTGGTTCTCAAGAGAGCATTCAGACCAATACAACAATGTGTTATCGACCGCTAAGTTGAGAAATCGCAACATTTCCCCAAGAGCTCTAGATACCTGCTCATGGATTTTGCATTTATTTTTTTGCATTTTTTCTTGGAATTTCAGAAACAGAGTAAGCAAGCTATCACCAAAGTCTTAGATCTAATAGGAATGGTGAGCGACGCTCTTCTGGCAACCAAGACACCAGGTGACAAAGTTTCGAAAGTCAAAACGAATAAAATAGAAATGGTTGTCCAGAGAGAGAGCGCTGCCGATATTGGCAACAAGGGTTTGGTTGGCGATGGAGGTGGGGTCAAGTTTCCCAGTAGTAAAGCGTTGTTTGGTGGTAATGGAAGCGGCCTGACACATGTTGATACACAGGTGATTCTATCAGTAACAATTTCCTTCATTATTTTGGTTACTTTATGGTACTTCAGCACTAAAATACTCGATATCAAGGATCCAAAGGTATTGCACATCATAAAACTTTGTCATGATTCTTATTTCAGATGCTCGTCCTTAAGAACAATCCTTACACATGGGACAAATCGGCAAAAAATGTCAAGTCCTCGGTTCTAAGTGTCGACCTCAAAGGACCATCAGGAAAGAAACTTACAGTTGAAGGTCTTGAAGAAGAAATTGAACTTGTTATTAAAAACACGGATAACCAACCACCAGCCTCTACATTAATGAGTTTTAGTAAACCAAGTATTGATGGAAGTATGCGTTATCATACYACAAATGTAACAGGCAAAGACAAGGCAATGCATATTACTATAMATCCTGAAGACGGAAAACGCCTCGAGGTCTACCTTGGAAAGACAACACGACCGACCACTCAAAAGTACCTCCTCAAGGCTACTGTTCCAGACTTGTCGAAATGTCCGAACAACACGTTATGTCCAGCAAGTTTCGCCGTGGCTGTCCCAGCAAATCTAACAGAAGTTGAAGGGCTTTACTAYGTCGGKATTAGACAACCTGAAAAACGYGACGATCCCGTSAAGTCGAGAAAAAGAAGGTCATGTTCAGAATCAGGCCGAAAGAAACGTTCAGTTGAGTGCGTCGAGTTCAAGGACCCACCAACAACTCCYGCRCCAACACCACAGACTTTGATACCTTCGTATGATCCGACTACAGATGTGAATTACACCATTTCTATTGCAGTGAAATCGTGTTTGTATTGGTCGGACACGACACAAAATTGGACGAACTATGGATGTCGGGTATGTAATCTAATGCAAACGCAACACTTTCCATTTTTGGGAAAATTTCACTTARATGCACCGTGCATTGCATAATTGGAAGTTCCAATCAATTCAGTTTAATGATTTTCAAATTAAAATTGATCATTTCAATCCGTGTGAATTTTTAGGTTTCGTCGAAGGTAGTCAACGGCTCGATTGTCTGCCTCTGCAATCATTTGTCATCATTTGGTGGGGACTTTTTCGTGGCACCAAACCCAATCGACTTCGACCAAGTTTGGCTGGCAATGAAGAACATTGGACAATCCCAAAATTTTGTTGTATTGTCGACCCTATGTACAATGTTTGCCTTGTATGCTATTGTTGTAATCTTGGCCAGAAAAGAAGACAAAAACGACGAGCTCAAGGTAATGGTTTGGACACATGTGAACCCTTARGTAGTACAAATAATGACAGCATTAGCAAATACCTTTTGGCGGCCGTTGTGTCTAGGTGCCTATTCCTTGAATTTATCCGGAGGATAAGGCCCATGTTTTGTCTGCGCGTTTCCTTTTGATGTATTCTCCACGTTTCTACTTTTTAGATCGCTTTCAATTACTGATTTTTGTCTGTTTGTTTCAGCATATATTTCGATAAGGCCTAACTCAAGATATCTAATTAACTGCGCTGTCTTTCTCACCAGGTCACAAGAGCTATCCCAGTRTCACGAGTATCAGATACAAGCCACTGCTACGAAATCACCGTGTCTACAGGAATATGGCGACGCTGTGGAACAACATCAAACATTGCAATGAGGCTCTGTGGYGAAGACAGTGAATCTGGAACTGTTTCGTTGTCTTATTCTGCTATGTGTGACAAGCAACTGTTTGGACGAGGAAGCGTAAACGTTTTCATTTATGCTTCTGAAAAGTCATTTGGTGATTTGAACCATATAAGGATATGGCACGACAACTCCGGTGACCACCCCGCTTGGTTTCTCAGACAGKTAGTTATTCGTGACATCCAAACTGATGCCAAGTGGTATTTTGTGTGCAACAAATGGCTGGCACTTGAAAAAGGTGATGGGAAAATCGACAGGGTATTATACGTGTCCACAGAAAAAGAAATCAATGGATTTAGAAATAAGTTTTGCAGTAGAGCCGCTTTAGGCCTAGGTGACGGTCACTTGTGGCTTTCTGTTGTGACYAGACCGCCTGCAAGCCCTTTCACAAGGGTACAAAGGGCTACGTGTTGTCTTTGCGTACTTTTAACCGCGATGGTTGCTAATGCAATGTTCTATCAGTTCGGAGAGGAGGCAAAGGACTCTTTTAAACTAGGTCCATTGGTTGTAAGTGCTAAACAAATTATTATTGGCATACAAAGTAGTATTATTATTGTACCTGTCAAYCTYCTCATCGTGTTCCTCTTCAAAAACGCAAAACCAAAAGATGACAAAGACACGCAAACGAACACGACCAATGAAACAGATCARAAGAATAAAAAGAAATCWGGCCTGCCTCATTACTTTGCTTACATTGCATGGTTCCTGGCCATATCAGCTTCTCTCACTTCAGCTGCATTTACGTTCTTCTACAGTATGATGTGGGGACGRGAAAAATCCAATCAATGGCTCACATCTATAATGGTTTCCTTCTCACAAGACATTATTCTAATCCAGCCAATCAAAGTCCTTMTTGTTGCGACGTTGTTGGCATTTATCATCAAAAAGGCGCCAGAAGATGAGTCCGCTAAACAGGAAGTCGATCAGAGTAAGAACAAAACTTCTGAAAAAGAGTACTCAAAGATCGCCGGTGAGGTTAAAGAGCCCAAATCCCCAAAGAATGAAGATATGGAGACGTTCAGGCAGTACAGAGTACGAGTGCTTAAAATGGCTCGTACCTTGATTGAGCTGTGCTTTTACYTRACRTTTGTSTGGATGTTGATGGTTATCTGTTACGGTAGTCGAGACGTTGGTCGGTACTGGATGACACATGGTATTAATGACATGTTACTCAAGTTTGACAAGGTAATATGGGCACTACACGTATAGTTAGATGTTATATAAGAATTACAGAGGACGACGTTTCTGTTCTATTATGCTACAAGTTCATACAGACATTCTAGTCCTAAAAACTCCAAAAACCCATGAAACAAACTTCCTTTCTTTTGCTGTGGTATTACTATTAGAAACTTTCACACACTGCCCACTAGTTATTGTTTCAGAGTCCAACGAACAACAATTCCATGTCGATAAACTAATACTAATGTACTCGTTTTTAAGGTTAAAAACGCGGAYGGGTTTTGGAAATGGGCAAAGACGTACATGGTTCCAGGTTTATACAGTTCTGATTGGTACAATGGACAACCGTTTGAGTATAAAGAAGGGTTTGTGTCCAACAAAGCRGGATATTTGGTTGGAATGCCTCGGCTTAGACAAGTACGAGGTGTAGTAGGTAAGAGGAAATTGTTTCCTAAACTCAGCCCTATTTCAACCGAAATCATACCATCCCTAGTTTCCTGTCCAACCTTCACAAATGACGATTTACATTCTAGTAACACTCACTATTTGCTTGCGATTCGCACTAAAATCCCAGGCTCATTTTCAATCATTTTGTGATATTTCATTCCGTTTTACACTGTCTACGATCCTTGTCTTAGGTAAAATAAGATCCACTAACTTTTCACTGGACATTTTTTACAGATGACTGTCCAATAAAATACCTATATCCAAACTTCTCAAGCACCTTGAACCTRTGTATTCCRCCATATTCGTTTAAAGCTGAAAGTAAAACTCCATACAACCTCCCAGGATGGTTTCCATTCAGAAACAACAATACAAGATTTTACTCTGAATATGAGCTGCTGAAAATGTGTCCACGCCCATGGCGATACCGAACTGCAACACAACTTCATAACCTTCCATTTCAAGGAGAAGATAAGCTATAYGGAGGAGGTGGCTATGTGGCCGACCTCGGCTACACCGACCGATCGGCTTACAGAGTTCTCGAGAACCTTGAAAAAAACTCGTGGATTGACGAGAGGACGAGAGCAGTTTTTCTAGAAGTTTTGATCTTCGAACCTTCGAGCAGTTTCTTCAGTGCGGTGACATACTTGTTCGAAAAGCCAGCTATGGGTGGAGCTCTGACTTACATATCTGTCAAAACAATGTCACTTTACGGGGCGCGATCGTACGGCCTTCAGTCACTRTATGCAATCTGTGAACTTACGATCATTCTCATTGTGATTTACTTTGTAATAGCTGAGCTTGTCAAACTCTACAGGCAAAGGTGCAGCTACTTTAAGAAGGCATGGAATTGGATTGAAATCACACAGATTTTRGCTKCCATTGCTACTGTCGTGCTTTCTATATTCCGCAGRTATCATGCWACACAGCTGGTAAACAAAGTCCATGCTAACCCCTTCATGACATCAAGCTTTCATTATGTTGTAATGTGGWCAGAAGTCGAAAACGCAYTAATGGCAATACTCATTTTTGTGATCACCATGAAACTGCTGCGTATTTTGAAATTCAACCAACAAATCAAYGTTCTTGCAAGAAGTATGTCTAAGTGCGGTAAAAAATTGGTTTCATATTCTGCAGTATTCCTCGTGGCATTTTTAGCATTTGCTCAAGTGGCTCTATTGGCGTTTGGTCACAGTGYACAGTCGTATTCTAGTGCTGTACAAGTGTTTCGAAGTCAGTTTTCGATGTTTGTAGGAGGTGACRCGGACTACTATGAGCTYCARGACGCAAATSCAATTTTGGGACCGTTTTATTTCTTTGCATTTATGACTGCAATGGCTACYATTTTGATAAAYATGTTTCTTGCTATTCTKAACGAAGCRTATCGCGAGGTTCACGTGTTTAGAAACATTGAACCTGAGGAACATAAAATGATGTCAGTGTTYATAGACTAYGCGAATAGACGGATAAAAAAGAGTTTGTCCAGTATGAAAGACGCTAAGCTTTTCCCTCAATCAAGCAAATACGAGGTGAATGACCATTTACTCTCCAACGAGGAGATTGAACAAAAATACACACCTCTTGAAGAACCGATTAAGAATGAGAAACGTTTTGAGGACGACCCTGAGGAGAAGATGCTYGCTTCTGTGAAGGGATGCTTCCAGGCATTACGCTATGATCTGCGGCATTTGACGTCATCTCGAAAGAGGACCTATAAAGTTCAAAAGGCTTCCAAAAAAGATAATAAACAAAACATTAAGGACTATGACAAATGCCAGTGCCAGTCAGTGAAATATAATCTCAAAGGATTGTCCACAAGTTTTCAAAGTCTTACAGATGAGTTATTTAGGAATGGGTCGGTAAAAAAGARTCAGGAAGAAGATAAGGAGAGATTATTAATAGATCAGGACACTTTTGATGCAATTGAGGAAACAGACCTAATAGATTCAGACTCTGAAGGGGAGCTTTATCTAGAAAATTCACTCTTCTTTGGTAAGAAAAACCACAACCAAGAAACTATCATCTGAGCTAACACAGGGGTGTGCGACCCAACATGKCTACCAAACAGATRGCTACTGCGGTGCRCAGCAAAGTGGCACAGTGACCCTAAGATTYACAAATTGCATGGTACAAATAACAAGACAAATATGCCTTCAAATGCATATACAGCATGGCATTGTAATAAACTCAATGCATGAMCAACAATATCCATGTTTACCAGAGTATATCTAAAATATCAAGCAAGATATGTAAAATACCCATAAAACAACCAACTTTGTGGTATGTAATCATACAATATACACAGGGTAACCCAACAATAAACATCATCAGATAAGACAGCTGTCATCGACCTGTCAATCACCTCGTAGTCATCAATATTACAACAGCAATAACTGTTACTGAAGGTTCAGTGTTGACCAAATAAAATCAGTTTCACTGACCATAATTTCAATTTCAATTTGTTGGGTTTTGCATGTGAATCTGTCAGTATTTGTTCTCTATTCTTATGTACATGTATTTACCGTTATCTTATGTGATTACAGTTCTGTGAAAAATTGGTAATAATATAAAAGAAAATACAAGGATTACGCCCTACCATCAACACTAAATTATGGCTATCATTTAGATAAAAGCAAATATCCACACAAA